GGCCTGCCTGATCAGAGTGAGATCAAAGACAACCAGGGCTACACAGAGAAACTCTATCTTGAAACAAGCAAACAAAACCCCACCCCCAAAAAAGAAAATACAAGAATGTCTAAAGAGGAATGGATAAATTGAAGTATGTAAGGTTCTGTAGCTAAAATGAGAAAATTAATGAAACTGAATTAAGAATTACCTTCCCTGGAACTGCGGAAATGGCTTTCTTGGTAAAGTCTTGCTGTGCAAGCATGAATACCTGAGTTCATACCCCTGCACCTACATAAAAAACAGGCTTACTCATAATTTCAGCATTTGGGAGTCAGAGAAGGGGGGCTCCCTGGGGACTGCTGGCCAGGTTGCCTGATTCAGTGAGAGAGCCTTGTGTTAAACACTAAGGCTGCTGAGTTAGTTCCAGGTGAAGGCATCCGACATCCAGTCTAATGACCTGGGACTTACATGGTGAAACAGCACTGATATCCATATGTATGTTGTGATGTGGCTGCTCACACTCATGCACACACAAATGTAATTCAAAAAATATGGGGGCTGGAGAGATGGCTCAGTGGTTAAGAAGGCTGACTGCTCTTCCAGAGGTCCTGAGTTCAGTTCCAGCACTTGGGAGAGAGAAGCAGGCCTGCTCTACATAGCAAGTTCCAGGACAGATAAGGATGTATGAGAAACATCCCCCCTCCAAGATTGAGACAGATCGAGGATACCTGACATCATTGGTCTCTGTCATCCATCTGGGTGCAAACACAGTACACACTCATGAACCATGTGTATACAGTCATTGTACATAGATTTTAAGCCAAAAGGAAAAATGGGATGCAGCCGATACAAAATATCCCATAAGGAATAATTTATTCCCAGTTGAAGAAATATGAAGAAGGGAGATTGTAAAGAGGAAAGGTAGTTGTAGCCAGAAATAAGTATGAAGAGAGGTTTGGTGGAGAAATTGTGTAGAATTCAGAGGATGCTCCTGAAAGTCTGGTATCCCAACTCCATCCATCTCCCAAAGGCCGGGATTAGAGTGCATCACACCCAGTTTTATGCAGCTCTACAAATTGAACCCAGGGCTTTGCATATGCTTTGTAGATATTCTCTCAACTGAGCTACAACCCCGGCAGAAGAAGTGTCTTGAGTTTTTTGACTTTTACATTTATTCAGCTATAAAATGATAGTTGTAACTAAGTGACTTTTAAAAATAACTACTTCTGGTACTAGAGATAAAATGTGCCTCACACATGCTAAACATGTGTTCTACCATTGAGTTACACCTTTAGCTCCAGTATTACTTTTTAATTATATTTGTATTACTAAAGATGGCTTTGTGGAAAAGAGAGCATCCTCCTTGTGTTGCCACCAGAGGGCATCAGTGAATAGTTTAACAGCCATTCCCATCTTCCAGTTTTGGAGAAATCTTTTTCACTATTTAATCTACTGTAGAAAAAAAACAAATTTAGCCATCCATAAATTTTATCATTTGGCATTATGTGGACATAATAGGTATGCTGTTTGTTTGAGAGCAGCTCCTGATACATTCAGCAGGTTGACTTTGAACTTGGGATCCTCCTGCCTTATCATTCTAAGGACCTGGGATCATGGCTATGTGCCACCTAACCTGACTGACAAACTTTATCAGCTTTTTACTTTTGAACTCATGCCTTGTACTTGTTAATTATATTTCCTACCACTGTCTTGACATTACTTACATGATTTTTTTTTTTTTTTTTTTTGGTTTTTTCGAGACAGGGTTTCTCTGTGTAGCCCTAGCTGTCCTGGAACTCACTCTGTAGACCAGGCTGGCCTCGAACTCAGAAATCCACCTGCCTCTGCCTCCCAAGTGCTGGGATTAAAGGCGTACGCCACAACCGACCGGCATCCTTAACTTTTCTAGACATTTCCTGCATCATTTATTGGAAAGCACACCTGATTTACTAACAACATGGTTTGCTCAGAATACTTAAAACCTGCAGCCACAGTTCACGGCCTGAGTCCCTCAGCACTAGACCCACGTCAGGAACCTTGCTCATTTCCTCCTAACGATCACTCACTGCTGTACTGGTCACAGTCAGAAAGGAACAGAGAACAAGATGTCCTGTCGTCTCCATCACCATCCTTGACATCTTCCATCAAATTAGCTAACTGGGATCCTGTAGAATTTACTCCTGCCTATTACACCTTCTCATCCTGCTTTCTGTCAAGCCAGAAGCCGAAGTATTTGAGATGTTCTTTATAAGACAGAGAGAGAACATCTTTGTGTATTGTATGGCTGTATCACCTGTCAATTAAAAAGCCTATGGCCTATGGCTTAGGCAGGAAATAGAAAGTGGGAGAAAAAATTCTGGGAGAAAAAGAGGCAGGGAGATTTGCTTGAAAGATGTGATAAGATGGCCGGGCAGTGGTGACGCACACCTTTAATCCCAGCACTTGAGAAGCAGAACAGTCAGATTTTTGAGTTCAAGGCCAGCCTGGTCTACAGAGTGAGTTCCAGGACAGCCTGGGCTATACAGAGAAACACTGTCTCAAAAAAAAAAAAAAAAAAAAAGATACGGTGGTCACATGGTATCTGAGAGTAGGTAACCAGTCATATGGCAGAATGTAGGTTAGAATAAATGGGATATTTTAAGTTATATCTAGTCAGTTATATGGCCAAGGTATTTGTAGATATATTTTGAGTCTGAGTCTTATTTCTGGGAGAAGTAACCAGGGCCCCAACCACAACAGCATCCTACAATGCAACACCAAAATGGCTATAAACACTACAGTACCGTGTATTACTTCTGCATGCCTCAGCTCTCCCAGGGCGGCAGAAAGAGCCCAAGGGCCAGGTGTTTCCTGAAATCACACATTGCCTGACAGACATGCTATGCACTGAAGAGATTCAGAGATTTTATCCTAGCACTGGTGTCCACTCATTTCCACTCAGGTGAAAGAATGTTCATTGTGTTAAATGTAAGCATTTTTCCTTCGCGGGAGAGGAAGCCTCTGTCTTAGTTACTCTTCTATTGCTATAGCGAAACACCATAACCAAGACAATGTATATATAAAACAAAGCATTTAATTGAGAGCTTGCCTACATTTTCAGAGGGTTAGTTCATAGTCATTATGGCAGCAGGCGAGCTGAACTTATGGTTACCCTCCCGCCTCAGAATGTACTATCATATCAGACAGTTCTGCATTTTCAGTGGAATTTCAATAGGACTCAAGTCTCAAATGAAATGTTCAAAATGTCCAGATGTAAGCCTAATTACTAAGCATACAAAGAATGTGGAGAATCCTCCTAGGAAAAATGATGCTAACACTGAACACAGATGGTGAAATTATCTCATGAAGCATTAACCATTTAATGGAAGTTAATTCTCATTGGTCTCCTACCAGCAGATTCAGGCAAAGGGACCAACAGCTTTCTTCCAGGGCTGTCTTTTCTAGGGATATTTGTATAGCCATCATTTTTGTGTGATAAAAATTATTTTTTCTTCTTGTTCTAGGGGGAGTCTTGTTTGGTTTACAGGATGAGAAAAGGTACCACCACTCTTCTGGATGGAGAAGGACAGGTTCAGTGGACTTTTATGAAATACCAGTTTACTGCAGAGCCTTTCCTGTAATGCTACCACTTACATGACATGAGACAGACATCACCTTGGCCTCATGGCATCACTTGGGGAGTGGGGCCTACACGATGATCTCTGCCTCTTTGAGGAGATGCCCTTTCTTTCTCACCCAGAAGTTCCATTGCCAGTTCATCAACTGGCACTGGAATTTGTTGACTTACAAAGTTAACATGTCAGGTCCTTTAGAGTTGACTCTAAATCGTCTACATGTAACCACTAACATTTAGCCCAAGCAGGCCCCAAGTTCAGGCTTCCTGTTCCAGCCTTCTCAGTGCTGAGATTATAGGCATGTGGTATTACACTCAGTTTCAGTAGTTTTTTTTTTTTTTTTCTTTTTAAACCAATGGAAAAATTCAGCTAGGCAGTGGTCACACCTGTATTCAGGGGACTGCGACATGAGTCCCACAAGTTCAGAGTCAGCCTGGGTACACAGTGAGGTTCTAGGCCAGCTTTAGCTACAATATGAAAGCCCAGTTAGGGGCTGAATGGGAAAGAAGGAAGTAAGGAGATGGCTCAGTGCTTAAAGTGTTTTCAGGGCAACTAAGAGGTTCTAAATTTGGATCCCCAGAACCCAGGGCAATGCTGAGCAGGCATGGAAGCCCTCCTGTAATTCCTACCGTGGAAGATGGAAACGGAATCCCTAGAGCAAGTTAGCTATCAAGACTAGCTCTATGGGGTGAGCTCTGGGTTTGACTGAGAGATTCTGCCTTCGGAAATCTGGCTGTCCTGAAACTCTATGTAGATGAAGAGAATCACAGAGATTTAAGGCCTGTGTTGTTCAAACCAGCCCAAAGCATTTTTTTTTTAAACTGCCGGGCGTGGTAGTGCACTTTTCATCCCAGGACTGGGTAGGTAGAGGAGAGTCTCTAAAGCAAAGGTCAGGCTCAGGGGCTGAGCAGCCTCACACTCTCCTGCCCATGCCGTTCCGCCCCGCTCCGCAGAGGCCTGGAGGAAGCGGTGAACACCGGCGATGTGCAGACCCTAGCTCCAAACCCCAACTCCGGCGGCAACCAGCAGGCCACGACGCCACTGGGCGGCCGCCTCTCGCGAGACAGCAGCCTGGCCGCATCTCCTTCCTCTCTGCTGTTGTTCTCTCCGCCCCCAAGAGTTACGCCGCTTCCTCCAGAGCTTGCGAACCTTGGACGTGGCGAGGCGGTAGAAGGCTGGAGCGCCACACACAGATGTCCCTCAGGCGGACCTTCTGCGCCGCAGTCCAGCCAAGGAGGGCCGACGCCTCTTTCCAGGTACACTGTGCCCGCTGGCGGAGACCTACTGCGCGCGCGCCGGGGCCTTAGCGGGGCGCCACACCTGGGTGGGCAGGGACAGCTCGCGCACGCGCGTTGCCGTGCCTGCGGGCTGTGGGGAGCGGGGCGTTGTGTATCACTGCCAGGAAGCGCTGTCGCTGGTGTGGCGCCATTCCCTCGGCTTCTCTGCTCCCGCTCAGCTTGGGGCGGGGCGGGAGGATGGCTTCGGAGATGGAGTCGTCGCTGGAGGTCAGCTTCTCGTCCAGCTGTGCGGTGTCAGGAGCGTCTGGGTGTTTGCCTCCTGCCCGCTCCCGCATCTTCAAGATCATAGTGATCGGCGATTCGAACGTGGGCAAGACGTGCCTGACTTACCGCTTCTGCGCCGGCCGCTTCCCCGACCGCACCGAGGCCACGATCGGGGTGGACTTCCGAGAGCGAGCCGTGGATATTGATGGAGAGCGCATCAAGGTGAGCCGATGGGGCGGGGGCGCTGTCACTGCGGAGGGCTGCCCCTTCTTGGCAGGTGTCCGGACCGCACCCTGGGTCTGGGCAGAAGTGTGTGTCCCGTGGCGTGTCAAAGTGTGTTTGTGTATATCAGACTTCTGAGGCAGTGTTCCCCCACCTCTAATGTGGATCAGGTTTACCTGAGACAACTTGCTTTTCAGAAAAGCACGTTCTGATTTGATAAGCTCCCCTATAACGCACATGCAATGAGTCTGTGGACCACACTTTTTAAGTGTCAAGGGTGTAGGCGGCGGTCATTCCCCACCCTCCCACCCTCCACTGCTTGAGTGAAAGTTATGGGGGGGTCTGGGGGGCATGACCGAAAGAAACTCAGAAATTTCTCAAGCATAGAAAACTCCGTTATAAGTTGGACATGGGGGCACACTCTTTAAATCTCAGCACTCAGAGGCAGGCAGATCTCACAGAGACCAGGATCTCTGTGAGTTTGAGGTCAGTGTGGTCTACATAATTAGTTCCAGGATAGCCAGGGCTCTGTTACACAGAGAAACCCTGTCTCAAACAAGCAAGCAAGCAAACAAATCCCAAACACCCCAATTTAAAAACAAAACAAAACAAAAAAACCTGTTATTTTTTGGGAATTTATTTGAGCATTGCACAAAGGCTAAGTATTGTGGAAGTAAAACCTGTTGCCTTTGAGGCATTTTCTGTATGATAATCAATTTATCTAGCTGGAAAAATCTATTTTCTCACTGACGTATTTATATGTGATGATTCTTAAGTGGTTTGCCCAAATCATATCTCTTGATACAAGAACAGACCGTTTCCCAGGTGGCTTCTGAGACTCAGACTCTGTAATCATAGTGGTGAAGTCAAAGGCAGCCAGTTTGAGATTCTGAAGAGTTGGGTTCCTGGACGGCAGAATAAAGATCCTTGACAAGTCAGGGGCCTCCTGATGCTGTAGACCTTGACACTTTAGTGCAAAACCACAGGGTTACTTAATACTACTCCTTAGAACATGTGAAATGGAGGTGGGCGGGGGTTGGGGGGAACACCCATGCCTTTAACTCTAGTATTCTGGGAGGTAGAGGCAAGTGGATTTCTGTGAGATCAAGGCCAGCCTGGTGTATATAGTTAGTCCCAGGACAACCAGGGGGACCCTGTCTCAAACAGAACTGCCCCCCCCACACACACACATGAAACCTGGGACTACTGACTCCCTTAAACAACTGGTTTCACTCTGCTTTACATTGCAGTCCCCTACATCAATCTGCTTGGAACAGGTTTGATTTGCTCCTCCTACCCTTCTTCCCTTGAGGGAAGAGCTTTTACCCCAGTAACAATAAAGGGCAAATCATCTGAGTTAAGACATCAACCCTTCTCTGGGCCCCTTTGCTTTTAAATTGGTGTTTATTTTACGTGTGGACACACAGGTACATATGAGCATGTGTGTTTGTGAGTGAGGTAAATCTAGACTCCAGAGGTTGCTGTCAGGAGTCTTCCTCAGTTGCTTTCTATCTTACATTTTGAGATAGTCTCTCAATGAATCTGGAGTGAACTGAATCCATGAGACTCTCTGACTAGGGAGCCCTTCTCCAGGGCTAGGATTGCAGTTGTACACGTGCTGAGGGTTCAAATTTACCTTGGCAAGCACTTTCTTGACTGATCATGTCTTTAGCCTTGTAAATATTAATCTTCATCTTCTTCAGGCTGCCAGTGTTGGCTACACTATAGTATAAAGAAAGTAAAGGGAGACATAGGGAATGGAGTGCTTACCAGGATGCACAAGACCTCGTGTTTGATTCCTACCAGAAGCTGAGGAAAGAGATTTGTGTGCATGGCAATAAGAGCTGGCTGAGTAGAAGATGAATAAGATTAGGCATATGTCTTTTTTTTTTTTTTTTTTTTTTTTTTTGGTTTTTCGAGACAGGGTTTCTCTGTGTAGCCCTGGCTGTCCTGGGACTCACTCTGTAGCCCAGGCTGGCCTCGAACTCAGAAATCCGCCTGCCTCTGCCTCCCAAGTGCTGGGATTAAAGGCATGCGCCACCACTGCCCGGCTAGGCATATGTCTTAAGGTCACTACTGCTGCAACAAAACATCATGACCAGAAAGCAAGGAGGGGAGGAGAGGGTTTATTTAGCTTACACTTCCACATCGCTATTCATCACTGGAGGAAGTCAGGACAGGAACTCACACAGGCAGGAGCCTTGAGGCAGGAGCTGATGCAGAGACCATGGATGGGTGCTGCTTACAGGCCTGCTTCCCCTGGCTTGCTCAGCCTGCTTCCCTATAGAACCCAAGATTAGCACCACTCACAATAGGCTGGGCCCTCCTCCATTGATCACTAATTGAGAAAATGCCTTACAGCTGGCTCTCTTGGGCCATTTTTCTCAACCCCTCTTTGATGACTCTAGCTTGTGTCAAGTTGGCATAAACCAAGCCAGTATAGTATAGAAGCCTGTGGAAGTAGGAAAGCTTCTGGTATGCGCATATTTTGGGGTAAGCAGTTATGGGGAAAGTTGCTCAACTCACCTAGGTGCAAGTGTGAGCCAGTGAAGTATGGCTTGAAGTTGTCTCCCAAGTTCAGGTGTTAGAAATATAATTCCCAAGCTCCTAAATAATGAGACTTGGAGGTGGGACATTTGGGAGGTGATTGGATCCCTCAGACTTATGAATGGGTTAATCCCTTTATAGACTAATTAGACTAATCTGTTGACTAGTTAAGGGATTAGTTCAGAGATTAGTGAATTAATCTTATTTATGGGTTAATAGGTTATTGGGAGTGCTTGCCCATCTATAAAACTGTGAACCAAATAAACCTCATTCTCTAAGGTATATGGGCTGTGTGTCTGGCTTTTTGTTTTGCTTTTCTGAAATTTTCAATTTTTTAAATTAATGTAGAGACCATCTTCCTGTGTAGCCCTAGCTGTCCTGGAACCCTCTTTGCACCACGGCTGGCCTCTCACTGAAATCCATCTGCTTCTGCCTTTAACCTCAGCACTTGGGAGACAGAGGTAGACGGATCTCTGAGTTGGAGCCCAGTCTGGTCTTCACAGTGCAGTGGTTCTCTGACTGTGGGTTGCAACCCTATTTGGGGTTGAGGGACTCTTTCTCAGGAGTCACCTAAGGCCATCAGAAAACACAGTTATTTACAGTACAATGCATAACAATTGCAAAATTATAGTTAAGAAGCAGCAATGAGAATATTTTCTGGCTGTGGATCACCACAACATGAAGAACTGTATTAAAGGGTCACAGCGTTAGGAAGGTTGGGAACCACTGACAAAGTGAGTTCCAGGACATCCAGGACTATATAGAAACCCTCTCTTGAACAACTGAAAAATAAAATTAAAAAAAAGAAGGTGGTGGTGGTAGTGAGGGGGTATTAGGAATAGTCCCTTACACCTAGAGTCTGGTTTTAAGTCAGTCATTAGCTTAGAATAAAGGATGTACGTCCTTTTTCGAAAAAAATCTCACAAGGTTATGGTTCCAGGGCTGGGTGTGATGGTGTCCCAGCACTCATGAAGCAGAGGCAGGCAGATCTGAGATTGAGGTTAGCCTGGTCTACATAGCAAGTTCCAGGCCATCTAGGAAACAGTGAGACCCTGTTTCAAATGCACGCACCCACGCATGCACCCACTTTCGTCACCTTGTTCAGTGCATCTGACAGTTCCTTACAATCCCGTCTGTGGAGAAGACTGTTCCTTGTGGTAGTGGTGGCGTCTGGGCTTGGAGCTAAGCCCTTGTGCCTGTTAGGTAAGTGTTCTACCACCTCCACAACCAAGCTGCATCCCTGACCTTAGAAATAGTTTGTTTATTATGTATATGTATGGAGCTGCCTGCACGAGTGTGTGTGTACTGTGTGTATGCAGTGTCCACAGGGGCATTGGATTCTCCTGGAACAGGAGTTACAGATGATTTTAAGCCAACATGTGGGTGCTGGGAATCAAACCCTGGTCCTCTGGAAGAGCAGCCAGGTTCCTTAACTTTTGAGCCATCTCTCCGGCCCTATATGCTTTTTTTTTTTTCTTTTTTTAATAAAAGGGTCTCATGTACCGAAAACTGACTTCAAAGTCTATATACTTAAGGATGACCTTGTATGTATGTGCATGGACACACACATATAGTTTATGTACATTTTTGTGTGAAAGTGTGTACATGTTCATGCACATGTGTGTAGAGGCCAGAGGTTGATGTTAGATATCTCCCTCAATTGCTCTCTACTGCTGTATTTTTTGAGATAGGGCCTCTCTGAAAGTGAGACTTATCTCCCTAACCCTACCTTGAACTCATGAACCTCCTGTCTTTACCTCCTGGGTGCTGGGCTTACAGGCAAGCATACCTGGTTTATGCAGTGCTGGGATTGAGTCCAGGGAGTGTATATGCTAACAGGCACTGTGGTCTGAGCTCTCTCCCCATCCCTGTGTATATATAAAGTCTTTGTAAAACTTTTCCTAAGCAGGGTATGATGATGCATGCCTTTATTCTCAGCAGGCAGGAAGCATGGATAGGATTTATGTAAGTTATAGGCCTGCCAGAGCTACATAATGTGAGGCTGAGCCAGGAGAATAGCCTTGAGTTGAAGGCTAGCCTGACTACTTAGTGAACTGAGAGCCTCTTTGTCTCAAAATAAAACAAAACAAAGAACCAAAACCCGAGCCAGGCGTGATTGCACACCTTTACTCCCAGCTCTCTCAGATCTGTCTGAAAAAGAACTCAGGCTATGCCTCTGGGCAGTTGAACTGTACATCCATAGCCACCAACAGTCTGGTAGCCTTAAAAAGAGTCGTCTTCAATTCTCTGCCTGCTAGAGCTAAGTGAGAGCCTGTCTAAACGTACACATAAGGAAAGAAACCAGAACTCCACTGACTCTGTACTTGCTAATTGATTTCTAAGTGCTAGGTACATATAATTGAAAGAGAAAATCTTGTTCACAGAATTTTGGCAGCTGAATAAAACTTAATTCCTTAAATTAAAACATATTTGACTTTCAGATTGGCTTTCCCTGTCTTAATCCACATGCTCCTTCCTGATGTCTAGCTGTACTCCTCTGTCAACAGTCATTTTGCCATGGTCGATACTTGAGTATAGACTGATATTTTGAGATTTAATCCAGTTTCCTGCCATCGATCAGCAATCACTGCTTAAACATATCAGAGGCTTATGCTTATAGAGAGAAAAGTGAGATTTTGCCGTTTTAAAGACAAGATAGTAATTTTAACTAAGGAGAAACAAGATATTTTACCCTTGGATCTAATACCTAAAGAGTAATACTTGATAAAATAGATATTTTATTAAGCACAAAGAATGATAACATGATGTAAGGAGTAACAGATTGTGAGAGTCAAATGCTCTTCTTCTTACTTTTATGTGACTTATTTGTATTATGTCCTGTGCCAGGGGTTGAACCCAAGGTTTCTTCATCCATACTGCTCAAGCCAGTGCTCTGGTCCCTGCCCTGTTCTTATGTGGTTGGAGAAATGAACTGAGATTTCATGATAAATGAAAATTACATAAAATTCAGAATCGATCAGGTCATCCTGATATAATCTTTATCTTCTACTTCCTAAATCTAGCCAGTTTCATACTCAGGTTTCTCCTGTTACTTCCATTGTCAAAACCCTAGCTAAATATTTCTTTTAAGCCTCTCTTTGAGGGATTAGAGGTCTGGAAAGCTCAGTGATGGAGTACTTGTCTGGCATGTTCAGGATGATGGGCTTCCTCCTTAGTACTGGGGGGAAAATCCAAACCTGCTTTGAACTTCGATAGCAGCTCAGTTCTCATTTAAAAACAGCCAACACAGCCTTCTTCTGTCTGGTGCACATTGCCCTCTTCCTTCAGTCATCCTAGAGTTCAGCCAAGTCATTTGCTGGTTTCCCACTGATGGCTTGCAATATCTCTCCTTTTGTATTTCCCTGCAAGATTGTTATTCAACGTCTAGTTCTTGAGAATCCCACCCGTTTTGCTTCCCTGTAACCCCCTTCGCCCTCCACCAAACCATTATCTCACTGTATTATACTTCTGTCTTCCTGTCAGGACGGGACTGGGTCTGATAATTGATAGTTCCCAGTCCATGAAGTAGTGGGTAGGAGCTCAGGGACCAAGTGTTCAGTTGTGCAAACAGGTCAGTTGGTAGGTCACCCTGGAAATCCCAAATTCGAATGATAAAAAAAAAAAAGCCAATGAAAAGAAAAGTGACAAAGGACAAAATCCTAGGTGAATGTTGAAGCTAAAGCCAAAGGCTTCACTAACTGGTTTTTGTTGATGAAGAAGAGGCCATGGGGGCAAATTAGAGCGACTGGAGGTGATAACTGAGGAGCAGAGGTCATGAGAATGAGGTGAAACGTCCACCTTGAAAGCAAGTTTTCACTCTTGTTCCTCTCTTGCCCCCTTGGCCCCACACCTGCAGGCTTTCCTCTCCCCTCCCCCTTCCCTTCCCCCTCTCTCCACGTGGTCATGGCCGGCCTCTACTCCTCTACTTTTCTGCCCCCCCTCCTCTTCCCTATCTCCTGAATAAACTCTCCCTCGTGGGGAAAAAAAAAAGAAAGCAAGTTTTCGTGGCTTGAGAGATGGCTCAGTGGTTAAGAGCACTGGCTGCTCTTCCAGAGGTTCTGAGTTCAATTCCCAGCAACCACATGGTGGCTCACAGCAATCTGTAATGGGATCCGATGCCCTCTTCTGATGTGTCTGAAGACATCAACCATGTACTCATATACATAACATAAATAAATGAATTAAAAGAAATAAGCAAGTTTTCATCTATTTCATTGTGTGTACCATGCGGTTGGTTCAGAAGAGGATGTTGGGTTCCCCCAGCTAGAGTTATGGACTGTTGCAAACCAAATCCTAGTCCTCCACAAGAGCAGCAAATGCACTTATCTGCTGAGCTGTCTCTCTGGCCTCTGAATCTTTACATTTTAGAACAGAGTATTGCTCAGTTGCACAGGCTTGTCTCAAATTCTAGATACTCCTGCCCCTGTCTCCAGAGTAACAGAACCACAGACAGCATTATGCCTGGTAGAACATTGAATTGTATTTATTTTAAGATGCCTTAATTTAAATTGCATGTATTTAATTCATGTGCGTGTGCATGCGCTTGGATGCACACATGCCTGTGGAAGTCAAAGGACAACTTGTGGGATGTGGTTTTCTCCTTCCACAGATGGGTCCTGGGATTGAACTAAGGTTGTCAGGCAAGGTAGCAAGCACCTTTCCATGCCTGAGCCATCTTGCCAACCCTAAATACAGGATTCAGATACCTTTGGTTGAGACAGATTCTCACTATGTAGCTCTGGCTGTCCTAGAACTCATACAGATCCTCCTGCCTCTGCTTGGATAAAAGGTGTGTGCTGCCATGCCAAGATAGAATTTAGACACCTTTGGAGGGTTCATTAGGATCTTATCTGACAAATTCAGAATCAGTTCCTAGGACCCACCCGTGGTACAAAAGGCATCCTCTCCAAATTAAAAAAAAAAATTTTAAAAAGTGAGTTGCAGAGGTGGCAATTCTGTGCTGGCTCCTGTTGGTTGGATGCTAAGCTTATCCTTAATTCTGTATTGTGCTCTCCTTGTGAGACTGTTTTTACTCTTATACATGCCTGTTGTCAGGCAGCAAGGGCAGGATGAGCTGTGACATGTGACATGTTTTAGCTGCTCTACTTGTGTGTATTTGTGATTGTGTATGCAGGTGAGCGTGCAGGCGAGTGTGCAGGCTACATTTCTTCCTCAGTCGTGCTCTACCTTAGTCCCAGGGACAGGGTTTCTCACTGGAAACTGAACAGTCCTGTTAGTCTGGCTGGCCTGCACACCCCACTGCTGGGGTTACAGCTGTGACTGTGAGTGCTGGCGACAGAACTCAGTCTTCATATTTGCCCAGCAAACACCTTTTCCCCAGGCCTGAAAGACAGTAGCTTTCTTGGGATACCTTCTTCCAGGGAAGGCTGGTTGCATGCAATTGACTCCAATTCTGCTGCTGGGTCTCCCAAAATACTAAGAAAATATGAGAAATCAAGATTTATAAATACCTTATATCTCTACCTTCAATAAAATTAGGCTCATGTTAGGAAAAAGGAAGGCTACTAAGAAAATGAAGATGCTGGGCATTGTGGTATGTGCTTCTAATCTGAGTTCTAACAGAACTGACCTGAGTTCTAACTCAGGAGTCAGAGGCAAGTGAATCTCTGAGTTTGATGCTAGCCTGGTCTATATAGAGTGTTCCAGGCCACTGAGGACTATACCGTAAAAGGACCTTACCTTTTTTTTTTTTTAAAAAAAAAAAAAAAAGGCAAAATGAAGAAATTTGGATTTAAAGAACTGACAGATTTAAAAGTCAAAACTGAGGGCTACCTGGAAGGCCCAGAGGTTAGAGGTACTAGATTCCTGCATCCCACAAAGGCCAGTGGAGAACCAACTCCTGAGCTGATCTCTAACTGCATATATCCATCATGGCATGTGTGCACTGCATGTGTGCACATGCATGTGTGTGCACACAGGATAAAAACTTAAAAACCACTGAGTACATTTGACTCAGCACCAGTCTTTCATAGCACTAGGCCACAGGTATTTTAAGTGTGTGTGTGTGTGTGTGTGTTGTAACCTTTTCCTACAGTAATCTTTAAAAAACACTTTTAAAGCCCATAGTGTTCAGATTTATAATCTGTATTTAATAGTCACATTGTGACTAGACCAGAATCATGAAGTCTAGACCCTGCAGGTAACAGAAAAGACAAGCTAGAAAGTGGAGAGGTATTAGGGGGCAGGAACAGGGGCTATGCTGCTCTGAATGTGCCACTGGACTGAGCTTGTCACCTTTGCTTTCTGTTTTCCCCTCTAGATCCAGTTGTGGGATACTGCGGGACAGGAGCGGTTCAGGAAGAGCATGGTCCAGCACTACTACAGGAATGTGCATGCTGTTGTCTTTGTGTATGACATGACCAACATGGCCAGCTTCCACAGCCTGCCATCTTGGATAGAGGAATGCAAACAGCATTTGTTGGCAAATGACATACCTCGAATTCTGGTGGGAAATAAATGTGACTTGAGAAGCGCCATTCAGGTGCCCACAGACTTGGCACAAAAGTTTGCTGACACACACAGTATGCCTTTGTTTGAGACCTCTGCTAAAAACCCCAATGATAATGACCACGTAGAAGCTATATTTATGACGTTGGCTCATAAACTAAAGAGCCACAAACCATTGATGCTTAGCCAACTGCCTGATAACAGAATTAGCCTGAAACCTGAAACAAAGCCTGCGGTGACTTGCTGGTGCTAAGTCATAGGCATGGCCATCACAGGCCTGACTTACCTGAGGAGAAGCTTGTGAAGTGTGACAGTGATCAAGTTCATAAGAGTAAATCTTAAATGTAATGGATCATCCTGCTGTTATCGTCGTTACGATGCTGTTTGTATTTTGCATCCTCTTAATCAAGTTTGTCACTGAGACAGCACATGGAAAAGGCCGCTTTACAGCTGAGATTGAAAATGAAGCAAAGGCAGGACTACTGGGGCTACCTTTCCAGTTCCAGCCAGATGCAGCAGCTTCAAGTGAGCATGATGGAACTTAAAGGGTCAGACTTGCTCCTCTCTTTATCCCTGGGGCAGCAAAAGATATGCTGTGTAGCACACATATGCCGAGCAGAGCTAGAGCGAGCTGCGAGTTAATAGGGTGCTTTATTTTACTTTGTATCTTTAAGCACTAAAAGCTAATAAGGGAATACAAGCAGTTGTAACAGGAGTTTATTTTAACCATGACATTTAATGGAAATATCAGATATCTACAAAGCTGGTTTCTGGTGCCCCTTGTCCTCTGTTCCCAGTCGGCTGGGTGGCTCAGAGTTGGTTTCAGTCAGCATCCATTTGGCTGCGGCTCTACTTGTATTCCTGTAATCGTATTGTCGGATGAGTTTTTTTATTAAATGCCTGAATTTTATGGCCTTGGTATAAAAACTGGTAAGACAAAATGTTTCTTGGTATAAAAAAATGAGTTAAAGAATGAAAAATATCTTACCTGTTCCTCAATGATGAAAGAAATAGTCTAGAAAGTTTTTTTGCCCTAAGTACTTATAATTTGAGTTTATAAGGCTCTGCACAAAGGAAATAGTAGTTTACATATGAAGATGTTAGCACACTGGAGCATAAGGTCAGCCCAAGTCTGAACACCCTTGTTGTGACAGCTCACAACCCTTGCAATTTTAGAGAAAATGAAGCCAAAATATGTTTTACTTAAATATTTTCATAATGTGGGAAACAAACATAACCCAACCTAGTTTCAGATTTTTGTTTCATCATTCTGAAGGTCTCAGCTGAACAATTCAGTTATGAAAGCAAAATTTTTCTATTTAATAAACTAAGTGAAAGTAACTTAAGGGATGATTGTTCAATTTAAATATTTATTCAGTAAGTACAATAAAATAAAGATTAGGGCCCAAGTTGGTTTTCTTCATAGTTAGAGAGATCTTTCTTTCATTCTTTCTTTTTTTCTTTCTTTGTTTTTAAATACAAGTCTTTCTGTGTAGGCCTGACTGGGCTGGGACCAGGGTGGCCACAGACTTACAGATACCAACCTGCCTCATCTTCCAGCTGCTGAGGATGAAAGGCTCTCTCACCAGGACTAGTCCAATGCATCGTTCTTAATCATGCTAGAAAGATTAAGAAAGAGCTGATAGGTTCTCCAGTCACATCTATGGTTTTCTTCTGTACTGTTTCAGTACTGTTTTCTCAGTATTGTTAATTAATAATTTTTCTTTTTAAAGTAACTTTTTAAAATGAGCATTCTTTACAATTCTGTGAAAAGCATAATTTTTTCATTTTAGTATTTATTAATCAAAAATATTTGCATCTCATTTGTAATGACCTACTACTTTAGTTTTTAGTTTTTTATTTTAAAAAGATACATATCAGGTGGGCAAGGATAGTGCCTGTAGATATAGTCCAAGGTGTTGGGAAGCACTTTACTGACTGCTGATACTACTTCCAAGATGATGGCGAGCCGGCATCTAGTTTTTGTTTTTTTTTTTAAAGCACAAATCACACATTTTGTACATCTGTGAAGTTTATTATGGCTGACATTTAATTGGAAATGTCAAGATATTCTAGAAAAAAATCTTAATTTGCAAACAGCAAAGCAAACTCCTTTGGAGTCTGTTGTGGTTGGCTCATACTACTTGATTGTCAGTGTAGGCTCTTTGATGTTCTCTCAACAAGGTCAGTAGTTCTGCTGTGAAACAGTGTCACTCTTAACACTTCTCCCATAACATACAATAAATTATCTTTGCCATGAAGAAGTGTTTCTTTCTTTTGTTTTCTGGGTTGAATATAAAATTAAAGAACATACCTCCTCCTGTCTATTGTGGTTTTCAGAAAATATGTATAGCCTGTAGTTCTTTCATTTGAAAGTCTAAAATCTGATATTTATTCTATTTGAAACATTTCAGATTTTGGATCATTTTGGATCGACAATTTTTGGATTAGGAATTCTCAACCAGTGAAGTTGATACAGATGACTAAAACCAAACCCAAAGTCTAAAACATAAGGCAGTCTCAAGCATACTCAGTGCAGACAGCACATGCTCTAAAGATGGCTGGTGTGGATTTAGCAGAGTGAACGTAGGTAACTAGAGATGGAGAAGGAAGAGTGTGTCAGGTATAAGACTGCAACCTAGACCCTTCTGGACAGTTCAGAGGTCAGTCAGTTTGTTATCTAAGTTACTCTTGTGTTCAAGTGCTAACTTGCATCCAGAGATAGCTGTCTTAATCAGATATTTGGTTCACCAACTGGCCATGTCCTTCAGACATGTATCAGGAAGGAGCCTGTGGAGCCCAGTAGAGGGCATCAGATCACTGGGCTGTACTATAGGTGGTTTTGACATATGTGCTGGGAACTTAACTTGGGTCCTCTGGATCATCAACTGGCCATGTCTTTCTAGATTTGCTAGAACTGGCACATGCCACTTTATTTGGTTTATTGAAATAATCTTGTCTGTCAAATGTTTGCCAAATTCCTACTATGTGTCCCCCAGTTGTTGTAGGCTGTGGAATTGTGTAAACAAATCAGACTGTCTTTGAAGAGCTTGAAATGTAGGTAAGGGGCTTGAGAAATGGCTCAGTGGTTGATAATGCTTGTTCTTCCAGAGGACCCGAGTTAAGTTCCCAGCACCCATTTTGGGTGCCTCAGTCATGTGTAACTACTCTGAGTGGTCTGATGCTGTCTTCTGGGTCTTACAGGCATCTGCATGTACATGGCATAAACACACACACACACACACACACACACACACACTAAATGAGGTAAATGCTTCAATATCACATTAAGGAATAAATCAGGATTCTCTTGGAATAGGTTGACCAAATTTGAACTCTTCTCTTTGTGTGTCTTTTGTCCATAGTTTGTGATTTCTGACCTGTCTATAGCCGTGTGTTGTCTGTGTCAGATCTGTCCCATTGTTCACCCTGTGTTGCCTGTGTGTTGTGCTTGTTCCTAGCAAAGAGCTTTGCTCTGTAGTTATTGATTAGCACAGGAAACATGGTATGGGAAAAAATGAGGGCTTCTCTATAGAACTCTTTAACAGGTTTAAAAGGGAAGAAACTCTTGACCTTAACTGACCCACAGTAGTACTCAAAACTTCACACATTATCAACTTAGAAGTACAATTTCAACATTTGTGGGGACTACTGTTTTTAAGATTCCTTTAACCTGCTGGCTGCTTTCAGTAAACGATTACGACATATACCTGCACGCAGTCGTGCATGCACACACTCTTTTGGCTCAGGGAGGGCTACACAATTTGCATTTGACTTACGTTGTAAAAACGGATTGGAAAATCCAAAGCATATTAAGATTGGTGACGTTGTTCCCTTACAGGCAGGTCAGTTAAATAGGCTGAGCACAGAGTAGGACAGCAGGTGAAGTGCATAATCTTACATAGTCTCCAGGCAATACTATTAACTAACTTGGCTGCAAGGTCCAGCAAAGGTTCAGTCTTCGCAGGCAAGAGATATTTTCCGAAAGCACGCCACCATAGGAAAGTAGGAATTCTGTCACAATGAGAAAGTGTGATTGGTGGGCTACGCACACACCAGGGGAGGTTACGCAGAGTGGAGCCGTGTGGAAGCATCACAGCAGCAAGGACATCTGGATGACATTCTGAGGCCCATATAAGGTATTCTCTAAGTCAAGGGAAAGAAGCACTGGGGGGATGGCCCAAGAGGAGCTAGATTCAGAATGGTTTAGGACTGTCGGGTACAGATATCAAACAGGCTAAAGCAGGCCTGGGAGGTAGTAGGCAGAATGCTTACCTAGTGTGCTCAAAGCACTGGGTTAGAGTCCCAGCATCACACCAACCAGGCATGGTAGGGTCTCTGTAGTCCCAGCACTCTGGAGGCAGGGGTAGGACGATCAGGATCTAGTGTCATCTTTGGCTATGTAGTGAGTTCAAGGCCAGCCTAGACTACCTGAGACCCTACCTCAAAAATAAAAATTGGAAAAAAATAAAAGTGAAGAGCAACTCAGGAGTTAACTGTAGGAACCTGACTTGTCTCTGGCTTGTCTCTTTGGACTTGGGAGCTGACGTTCAGCTCTTTACTTGCTGACTGAGCCCCACACCGAATGTCCTCATTTTCTCTTGAACAACTGGAGTTCTCTATTTTTTCCAGCTCAGTAGGGAAGAAGATATGGCCACTGATTGTTTCTGATGTTGGATGTTGCAACCATGTAGAGAAAAAAATGAACTGATTGTCAGACTTAAGTTATTATTTCTAGAATGGATTGTTGATTGGCCTGGTCAGTCAGGTACTTGCCCAAGGCCATTATCTTAAATAAACAAAGCCAGTATTTTGGATTTTAGGAGAGAAAGGATTTTGGAGCGGGAGAGGAGGAGAGGGTAGAAAAGAAGTAGCTGGGACAGCTTCACAGTAACAAGGACTGTACACGGGTAACAAATGAGACCATGTTGCAGGGCAGTGACATCACACTTATGCTGGGAATTCTGTGGCAGTGGAAGGTATGTGGAAATGAGGTCACGGTGACAATCCACTTACTGTAATAGCCTAAAAGACAAAGCTGTAACTGAGACCATGGCAGAATGCACTGCGTACCTATAATTCTAGGAAGTGGAAGCAGGAAGATCAGAATTTGAAGGTTATCCTCACCTACACAATGAGCCTGAGGCCAGCTGGGATTGAGATTCTGTCTCAAAACCAGATGAATAGATGAATGAATGAATGAATGAATGAATACAAATCTAAAAGGTTGATAGCACTATGCAGTGGTAAGGTACTTGCCTAGGATACTTGAGGCCCAAGGTTCAATACCATGTACCCCAACACAATAAATACACAAAAACGAATAGAAAGACTTAGAGGGTTTGGAGTAGCTTTCAGAGTTGTTAGGCAGACCCAGGAAAGAAAGAGATGTGACAGATACAAGAACAGTAACATCCAAGAGAAATGTTCACTTGAGCCCTCTGTCAGGACTGCTCTCCTCAGCACCGGTGACATCCCGGATCTGCCATCAGCACATCCCCAGAGCTGCTGCAGAAGTACTGAAGGCCTCTAACATCACGGTGCCCAAAGGACCATTCACCTGTTACCACATCCCCACCTGCATCCCCTCACAACCGGCCCGTACTTTATTATATCAAATCTCACGAGACACGGACCAGCCGACAGCCACACGTGTATACTTAGAGAGAAAAATCTCTATTCAATATTTGAAATTATTGTTTCACTTAGTTTTAGAGTACTGAACACAGAAGCCGTTCCTTGCCTGTGCCAAGCAGAGACTTTCAGCCTCCTCCATCTGCACCCTCCAGGCCAGCAAACACGCAAACATATTTGTATGTCTCTGCCCACATTTCCAGTCCTTCCACCTAAATGTGTCAATATTTGTCAGGCCAGATGAGTCTTGTTAAGGAGTCCTACAAGTCTCAGCCTGGCGTGTGTGACCCAAGAGACCACTGGAGACCACAGAACTGGGCTGATTGGCCTGTGTTTCCTGTCTACCTTGATGCCTGGAGCTCTGCCTAACCCCTTGACCTTGTTTGTGTAGTTCCTAATCTCATTTAAAAATTTTTATCATAGCTGTGTATGTGTATGGGAGCAGTGTGGTAGTCAGAGGACAGCCTTGTAGAGTCAGCCCAAGTTTTCTCTTCCCACCTTTATGAAGTCCAGGCTTAGACCTTAGGGTGCCAGGTCTGCTCAGTACTGGCCGAGCCATAGCACTATCAATGGCCTCCAGTGTCCTCATCTTCTTTTGAATGACAGGGTATCACTATGTGGCTCAAGCTGCCCTGGAACTCAGAGATCCACCTACCTCTGCCTCCCAAGCGCTGGGATCAAAGGCATGCACCACGACGCCCAGCATATCTTCACTTTAGAAGAGACTGACAGTAACTCTTTGGGTTATTGTACAAATAGATGACTTCATATATGTGTCATATCTATTGGTGCCTAGCAAATTTCTCTGAAGCTGAGTTGATAAAACAATAGTGTATTATTCTTCAGTTGTGGTGGGTGAGGGATAGCAAGCAGTTCAGCTAAGCTCTTCTGGTTTCGGTGTCCAGGACAATGTCATCTGAGGGGTAGTTGGGAAGGGTTGGGCAGCTGAAGTGGGGCAGCTTAAGGTTGGTCCTTCCTGTTGTTTGTATTCCCTCCACATGGCAGTTTCAAGTTGGGTGGACTTCCTGTATCATAGCTGGAAAGCTCCCAAAGCAAGTGGCTCAAGATACATCTGCATGGTCCTAGTGTCACTTATAAGTAGGGTCAAGAGTCACTCTGAACAGCGGCTGTAACAGCTTCCTCTGGCATATGTGGGTAAGCTCTGTCTGGAATGAAAGGTCTGGCATAAACTATGGCCTTTTAAAATGTCTGCATGGGATCATGGGCAGTTACTGCTCACAGTGGCCTTTGTCATGCTAGAGCCAGGTAAAAGCGTGATGTGGAAAGCTATGCTGTGCTTTTGGTGTAAACCAAGACATATGCTACCTTACTGGGTCTTTTACATATTTTTCTTTCTCTTTTAAGATTGTTTTTAGTTTACCACCTGAAGTGATAGATTCATCTCGACGCTTTCTTGTGTACACTGTTCTCATTTACATCCCCTGCTACCTCCTGGCTGGTCCCCTTCTCTCTGCCAATTGTCCCTCTTGTGTCCCCTTGTCACATGTATCTCATTTCTCTCTCTCTCTCTCTCTCTCTCTCTCTCTCTCTCTCTCTC